AACTCCATCTGAGCATAAGAAACTTTTATCCTCAAAGAAACTATGCTTCAATTGTACAGGTGCCAGCCACAGAGCTTCAGCATGTCGCTGCCCATCCTTGTGTCAAATATATCATAAGAAACACCACACTTCTATCTCTGAAGAAAAGTCGGAACAAATGCTAATAGCCTGTAATGTGGACGATCTCATATCTGGAGCGACGACAGTTGAGAAAACCAAGCATCTTAAGAAATCGTGCGCGACCATCTTTGGTGAGGCGAAATTTGATTTGCACAAGTGGCATTCAAATAATCCAGCCCTCAAAGCGAAAATAAAACCCCTTGAAGCAGGAAACAAAATCCCTCCAAACAGTTGAGACAAGTTAGGTGAAAGAGCAATTGGGAGTGAAACCTGGAGAAACAAGTTTACTTGGTGTGCCTTGGGACAAGGAAAAGGATACTATCAAAGTGAACTTTCTGGATTCATTGAAAGAAATTACGAAATGAAGTATTTTGGGAAACATCGCCAAAATATACGATCCTCTGGGGATTGTATCACCCACAACATTACAAGGAAAATTAATCTATAGAGATTGCGATGCACGAATGCCTTGGGACAAGGAACTAACACCAGAATTGCTTGCCAAATGGATTTCATGGGAACAAAATCTACCAAAGGAAGTGGAGACAATGAGGAGTCTTGTTGGTTATGAAGAAGAAATTGAAGCAATTGATCTACATGCCTTCGGTGATGCTAGTGGCAAGGGAGTGTCATTGGTCGTATATATGCCATAACCGAGGAACAGTCCAGTATCAACCAAGGTATCGTAGCGTTGAAGTCCAGACTTGCCAAGAAAGGTTTAACTATTCCCATTCTTCGAGTTCTGGATTAAAAGAGCACAATCCCGATGTGAAGGAAAAGAAAAATTTAAAGAGGACAGGCTCCAATTAAATCTTCAATTAAACGAACGAGATATCTGTGAATGTAGAGGAAGAGTGCAAGGAGACTATCATATTTATGTTCCAGATGAAGACATACTTGCAGACCTTACATGGGGGAGCCTTGCTAACAATGGCTAAGATCAGAGAGAAATATTGGATCCCAAGATCCAAAACGTGTGATACGGAAGTGCCATGGATGTAAAAGATTCCAAGTCAAAGCGTTCGCAGATCCCCCGACAGCTAATCTACCCCTCGAGAGGACGACCAATTCAACACCCTTTAAAGTCATCGAAGTTGATTACGCAGGTCCGATCAGATATCTAAGTAAAACGAAAAAGGAAAGAAAGCTTGTGCACCTGTTATATGCATGCAGTCTAATGAGAGCTCTCTATCTTGATGTATTACCAGATCAAAGCACTGAAGCATTCTTGCTCAGCTTGAAAGATTTATAGGAAGGAAAGGTCGTCCAGAAAAAATATTATCAGACAATGGTAAGACATTCATAGCGACAGCAAAATGGCTGAAGAGTGCGAAATTCAACGATTGGTTGGCAAGGCAAGATCTCAAGTGGAAGTTTAACTTAAGCCGCGCCCCTTGGGGCGGACAGTTTGAACGGTTAGTCGGTGTGATGAAACAAGCTCAGGTACATTAATGCCTGGGTCTCAGTTTGAGTATTTAGCGAAAATAAACAAAAAATCATAAAAAAAATAAGTATGGCCTTGATTATTACCATTCAAGTTTTATATGATTTATCAAAGGAGATTCTAAAAGTTGACCTACTTTTCGTTGTCATGGCAACAATCACATGATGTATATTTCGAAAAACAACACAAAAAATTATACTTTTTATTCAGAGGCTCTGCAGCAGTATATTTCGTGACTGAGAGGACGCAGAATTGCGATAATCATTCACACATAATATCATTGTTTATTGAATAAATTCGGAAAGTTTACATTTAGACTTCGTTTCATTATTTTATGCGGCTATATTACGATGATTGGCATCAAATGAATATTAATCCCGTCATTAAATGTTATCTACAAATAAATGTACGGTTTCCAAATTAACGCAGGAAACTTTGTTCCCTTGTTAATGTTTTTAGCTAACAAACATAGCAAAATTTCGTCAAATTACCCTGCTGCAAGTCGAACGCGTTTTTCGCGTGATGAATTTCATGCACCATAATGAAACAGTCTGCCGCTTATTGTAAGGGATATTATATTTCCAATAACAACATTCATTGCGCATTCAAGCCGATATCTTGAAGCATAGTTAATGCTTGAAGGGAAGTATGCCATGGTGGAAAAGACCAAGTGAACTATATGTGCTATTAATTTGTAATTCACAAGCTATTTTTCATTGAAAATAAGAAACAGTCAACAATTAATACTGAATAATCGCAAGATAGCGCACTATAAGAAGCTTTTATTTATCAGCAGTTCAAAGGTCAGCTGTCGCAAATGATACAATACTTATTGCTATACAAAGAGCCAATTATTACATCAAAACTGAATAGTATACCGACTTCTTTGCATTGTATATACCAAAATAATCCTGTTGGTCATATATACTATATTTTGATTTGATGCAAACGCCCAAATTCACTAAAATACTCACACAAGGGGCGAATATTCTAACAGACGCATTACTGACAGATCGCACGTGCAACACTTGCGCAAGATATCATCCAAGCGTGGGCAGACCCAGGCATTAACATGCCTGAGAGCTCTGTACAAATCGATAGGGCATGGAAACCTACGTTGGATTGGATAGAGTTAGAAGTTCTGTTGGACGTCAAAACCACTGTCAACTATTGACTGCTGTCATATATCGAGGACAACGTCCAGATGCCAATATTGACTCCAAATTCGATGCAGTTTGTGCAGCCGACTCAAATCCCAGAAGACGAAACTGCCGGAATTTAAAATATCGACTTTCGTAAACGTGCAAGATGGATGAACAAATACCTCAAATCATTAAGAGAAAGACACAAGCTAAAGCACAAGACAGAGTAGATGACAGCAAAGCGAGGTGACATAGTTCTAATTAAAGGAGATGAATGCAACCGAGGGAAGTGGAAAATTGGGACAATCGAATTGTTCATTGTCGGCAGAGACGGTGTAATAAGATGAGTGCGGTTGAGAGCAGGACTGTCCCATATCGAACGTGCGATGCAGCATGTGATATCAACCCAACTGAAGATATTGGAACAAACGAAAAGTAAGAAAAGAAGTCATCTGAAAGAACTCCGAGAACTGCAGCAGTTGAAGCTCGTGAACGTATAGCGAACATTGTTCGAAATGAACTAGACGAATTGGACTAGAGAGAACACTTAGCATGAACTACCGATAGAACACTTAGCATGAACTACCGATACATTTATATTAAGTTAGTTGTTTAGCGCATAACTTACCAGGTTATATATTTGTTTTGTAGAAAGTCAAATAGGGGGAGAGTGAAGTAAATTGCACAATGTTGGAAATTTAGTCCTCTGGGAACTTTGCCCAGGGTGATGTAATTCCGGGGACGAATGTAACAAACATGTTGATGGGAACGTGTGAACTACATATCAAATAATATTTGTAAATTTATTTTTGTTTTATTTTATATTTTATTAACTTTGTGATTGTGTTGCAAAGACCTGTTTCCAACAATTGTCTTCAGTGCATTTGACGCGACAGAAATTCGACCTTAAGCATGTGTAGAAGGACACATTTAAACGGTATGTTTAAACGTTATAGTCTCCTCATCATACAGTACTCAGGGGTATGTCAAAGTCACAAGTATAACACAGATACAAGTTTTATTAAACAATATATTCTCCATTTAATGCCAGTTTAATTTTCAACCAGTATCATTTGATTTTGACAATACGGCTCTTAGTGTTAATAACACCAATGGATCTGTACAAACGAAATGGTATACAACTAAAAGTAATTATCTTCCAGTCGTCACATTTGCACTTTCAAATGGGGCTCACACCTTAAAACCATGGTTTTTCCATGTTTTAGCATCTCAAACAACACACTCTGAACATGTACTCCTTACAGTATAGTCAATCACCAGGAAATCCAAAAAGAATACCAGGCATAACGCAGCTGGTTATACGATGATATCTTTTCTTTCGCAGTATCCACATCAGACAGTCAACGAATCCATACTTGATGGTATGTTAGCAAAGTACAACTAAAAAGAAATAACTGACATTAATAGGCACATATTATGAGAGGTCTTGATATGGTGACAACTGTCGAGAAGGTTGTAAATGATGTGTGTGATTTCTTTATGTTACATTCCATATGATTAGTCGTATACATATACTCTTACTCTGGCATATGTAATGCAGTCGGACAAACACATGTACAGAAATTTCACCATAAAATGCATTAGGAGGAATTGTGGTGTTAGCAGCAATTGCTAGAATGACAATTGTCTGTGACTAATATTATTATTGTGTAGACAGTTATGGAATTTATTTAATCTTATTGTTTTCCCACATTGCATCAAAAATAACATGTCATAATGTGTGGGATTTTTTTAATATTGCGTGCTATGACGTGTATATCGGTGCAACATTTTCTCTTTGGCTAGTTATATAATGGTTTAACCGTTGGCTGCAAGCCAATCAGAAATCATGAATAAAAAATTACAATGTCACTGTATATATACATGTAGCAAATATATTTTATACCTTCCAAATAAGAAATGATGCATGTAATCACGTAGGACCTCATGGGAAAGAAGATATCGTCCCATGTTCAAAACTCCAAACTGACTAGCATCAAAATTTTCACGCTTGTTACATGCGGGGTTAAACATACTCTGTAAAAGATTTTAAAAGCATGTAAATGTAATTAAATGAGGAGAAAAATTGAAGAATCCTAATGACTTGTTATGAAGTCATTGGTTGCAGATTTATATTATAGCGTTACTAGAAATTATGTTGATTATGGTTGGGGACAATAGTATAGGATTTGTATAACAACAGTACTCATGCTCACCATGACAGGCATAAAGGAATAGAAGGGTAACGTCTAACAGGTCAATCAGAAAAAACTTGCGGTAAAAAAGGAAAGGATTCATCCATCATCTTCATCAAGTTTTTTCTGCACAAATCCAACATGGATACGTCCATGTGAGGCATTTGAGTCCATGCTGATCCGATCCAACAACAAATATTCACCATGAACAAAAGAACATACAACATTCTTGCTGCATAGCAATTCAAATATGTTATCCGTATTCTGTGAAAAGTGGAACATGATTATACGTCATAACATTTACTTACACCAGGAAAACGTCCAATAATAAAATTAAGATTAAATGCAGTGCCATTTGACAACTACACCGTACTGCACGGTGGCCCATATCCGCCACGGCAAAACATTTATAATTAGAACTAAAACTAAACATTAATACTCACAGCAAAACTTTAATGCTCATGGCAAAGCTTTAATGCTCACAGCAAAACTTTACTCACAGCAAAACTTTACTCACAGCAAAACTTTAATACGGCAAAACTTTAACACTCACTGCAAAACTCTACAGTAATGTAAGTAATACGACGGTAAACAAACGGCGGAAGCGGCAATTGTGTGGAAATGCCTCACAGGGCAGCCTTGTCACAGAATAAAGGCGGATTTCCATTCAGTGGAAAAAGTCGCTCAATCAATTTTTTGCGATCACTTTCTGTTCAAATGCGAGCAATCAAGCACAACAGATGAGGTTGACTGCACGCATTTGAAAAGAAAGTGATTGCAAAAAGTCGATCGAGCTACTTTTTCCACTGAATGGAAATCTGCCTTTAGGCACACAGAAGATTGACTAGAGTAACACTGCCACACTATGAGTCATCATCAAAATGCTGACGCCATGGTCCTAGCCAGTGCGCATTTGAGAGGCATCACCCTGGACGTCTGCCATTTTGAATATTATCAGGGGGGTCAATGCCTTACAAACGCACACCACGGTGGCAGCATTTTTACAGTTACGCCAAAACCATTGGAAAATCCTAGGAAAAACTAAAAAGTTCTGTTTCTGTGTACCCTATTCTGTGGCCTTGTGTTCTTTGATGTTGTGTGATGCGCGCACAGGAGGATACACATGTGGGGGAAGGAAAAATTCAATTCCCACGTGTGCGTCACACAACCGCTTAGCACATCAAAGCACCTGTGACGAGGCTTTTCGGAGATGTATTTAGGCAGTCAAAATCATAAAATTAATCCACACCAACCCTAACCTGGGAGGGTTTTTTCAGTAAGTGGTCCAATACTCCAAAACTCCTGCAAAACCATTCTGCAAATTCAACCCGCAATTTAAACCCATCAGGTTTAAAAATGCCAGGTTCGGTTGGGTGTCTGTTAAGATCATGATTTTGTTGCCTAAAAAAAACATAAAAATCGGTCCATCTCTATATAATGTGCCAACCTGCATCAACCCATACCAACCTAGACCAAACTGCATCAACCTATATCAATCTGCAATTTAGATCATGCGGAAATTCCCTTCTCGTTTCTTAGTCAGTTAGCGCTAGTTCACTATATAGCCTAGTCATTTTCCTATTCAAACATCATTGAATATTCCTTATCTTCATGATGACGCCATTAGCATTAAATAAGATGAACTAAAATGAATTAAAAGTTGGCAACAGAATGCTCACAAGTAAGAAATTGAAAATGACCAGGGCGGGGCGGGGCCGTACAGTGCATCGTCATACACTTTCAAGCAGAGACTTTCAAGTATGGCCATATTAGTCAGATTGGAAATGCTCTGTTCTATGGAATTGTGCTATGCAATGTGATATGCTAAATGAACTTTGATTCTCATTAAAAATTTAAAATATGAAGTTACAATTTGAAGGAAATTTTATCATTATTTCAAAGGGAATTTTCGATCAGTGAATCGAAAAACAGTGAAAAAATAATGATTGAAATTATTGTCGACAGAAAATTGTTTTGAAAGGTGGAAACACTGACACCAATTTGTTAATATTGTTTTTTCCCTCATCATGGCTGAGATGAATCCCAGTTGCAGTGATCATGAGAAAAATATGCCAGTTTCCACCTCAGGTAGTACTGTGTAAGTAAAAAAACCATTGAAATGTCTCTACTAGAGTAACTTATTTGTTGGAAGTCCTGAAAGGTGTCGGATCTGAACATAGTGTGTCGAATCCTGAATCTATGTATGGATATACCGCAAATCTAGGAAGTGGTCGGCCATGCTGTAAATATTTGCATGCATTGTTTGACTTTTGTCACCTGTCAAAGGCAAAAGTGATGCCAATTTTAATAAACGAAGCTATTGAATTACATGATAGGAAATGTGTTTCACTTTGCATAAACCATACAATGCCAGATTTTTTGGTTTCATATATTTTAAATCACTACGTTGCAGGTCTGTCGTCTGGGTGTGTGTTTACACTCATTGGCTGCAGGGATTTATTTCATAGCTTAATATCAAGCAGACCAGGACAATATTATATACAGTCATAAAAAAATGCAACCTCGGAATTTCCTAAGAAATCCACTTTGAAATTCTTAACTCATTCTCATCCGGTCGAAAAGTAGCAATTTCGAGTGTTGTTGTTTCAAACGCTTATATCTCTCAAATTATACATCGCACGGAAACAGATATTGCATCGTTCGAAAGAGGAGGACTTCTGCTTTCCAACGATACCAATTTCAATTTCATCCGGAGCTTGGTTAACGATTTACTCGCATAAATTTGCATAAATTATGATATAAAAAAATGTTGCAATTATGCATAAATGTATTTAGCGGTTCAAATTTCAAATATGTCAAAAAAATTTTATGAATATGACTGAAAGACACGGTTATGATCTACAAGTACCCGAAGTTTCATGCATGTAGCATAAATAGAAATATTTTTATTGAATTTTTATATAAACTAGGTAGTGGAGTAAAATTTACATTTTGTGCTCACATGAAACAAATACCTTTATCAAAGGTCCTTTTTTATTGCTGCAACATGTTATCAATACAAATTTCCAATATTTCTTACTCTCCAACGATAGTATGGCACCAAAATAAGTCTGTGATACCCACAAAAGAACACTCAAATCATGATTAGCAAAATGTCTTTATTTCTACAATTACTACATACATTCTTAGATAATCATTACGCCATTGACTTTAGTTATTAGTGGCATAACCAGCCTCAAAATTTGGTCATGCTATTCAAATTTGAAATAATCACTACTCATTTGTTTAGAAATTGATTGTTTTCACAATCTAGAACATGAAAATATTTGCAAATAGCATGACCAAGTGTTGTTGGGCTGGCATCATCATAATTAGTAGTTATAAACTAGGGATCCAAGGATAGTGTGAAGTTTCAAATGTAAAAAGACACTGCAAGAACTATATAGGGTCGCCGACAACCAAGAAAGGCTTGATGACTTACACTACGAAATAAACAGTTACCAAAGGCATTTCATCTCATTATTTAACGTGCCTTGTGAAACTGATGCAATTCATCTATTTATTGTGTCACCAACAACAAAATTTTGCATATTCTAAATTTTCATTTGCATTTGCAGCTGTCGCTGAAAGCATCCCCACGACGCTACTGCTATGCTAAATTTATCTAATAAACTATAATTGAAATAGCTGTATAAGATATGTTATGAATAACAAGCACTACGTCATTACATCATTAAAAGACGCATTTTATCCTCATCCGTTCCGCATTTTATCCGCATATCCGTTCCGTGGATCCGCTCCATCCGCTTCCGCATTTTAACTTAATTGTGACATGTTTCACAATAACAAGTTTCATTGACCTTTGACTTTTCCCAGTGTGACGTGTGTCTATTTTCAGCTTTTCGCATGTGTTGAATATAAATATCACTTTAGATTTCAATAGTTTCACAGTTATAGCAGTGTTTTTAAAACATTTTTGACAAGCTTTGATACAGTTCTGTGT